CAACCACAACCGTATGATAAAAAACAGGTTCTGGTTAAACTTAAACAGAGACTTAGGGCTGGTCTATACTTAGCCGCTAGTTCGGCAGCTGGAAATCGAACTTCCGGGTTCGATTTATCGCGTCTGGTCTGGACACGATAAATCGAACCAGGAAGTGCTCGCCGTCGACTGCGGTACTCCAGCTCAACGAGAGGAGTACCGTGGAGTCGACGTGGGAGCCTGCCTGCCGCGTGTGGACCGCGTCTGAACCGCGGTAAGTTCGAAGTAAGGTATGTCGACTTCAGCTACGTTATTCACGTAGCTGAAGTTGCGTACCTTACTTCGACTTGGGGGGTTAGTGTAGACCAGGCCCTAGACTGGTGCCTGTCAGAAAGGGACAAGTAAGTGCCCAGTAGGGAGAAGCAGCAAACAATACAGTCACTGGAAAAAATGAAACAGATCACAGATCACATTAGGAGACAGAAGCTGTGACTCGATCTCAGGGAAGTGAATAAAAAAGGATTTCAAAGTGAAAACCCAAAATGGAGCGGATTAACACCTAGAACTGATGCATCCACTTGGCATACAGACAAAAGCAACAAACACTGGAGGAACAAATTCAGGTAATGACCCCCACTCTCCTCTCAAAGCCAGGATAAAAACCAGGGGTGCGGGTTCCCAACTGCTTTAACCCATAGAGCCACACACTCCTCGCTCAGAGATTAAAATAGAACCTTCTTTCTCAAATATTTTTACCTACCAGTTAAGTTTTCTTTTATATCCTTTCTCAGTTTGCTAAACTGGCTGCTGCTGCCAGTACTTTAAGATACCTTGATAGAGTTAATCTCTCTTGGCTCAGGTCTCCCTACCTTCCTAGGTTGCTCTTCACCCCCGCCCCCCCTTTCTCCTGCCTCTCTGCTCTCTCTCGCTCTCTTTGTTTTAAAAGTTAAAAGTTATAGTTTTTACAGTGGGCGGGGTCACCAGTGTTGTCAGTTATTGGCTCCATGTGTATGTTTTTTCTGCGTGCGGCACTGCTCACAAAACCCACAAAACTTGGGTTAGTAGCAAAGGCACCCGGCCTGCTTTATTGTCGACAAAGCACGGTAATAGCACCCGGCAGACTCTATGAGGATACTAAGACATGTAGCGTGTGACAACAGACGCAGCTCAGTGAGCGGCGGGACTTTTCACTGTCCCCTAGGCTGGCTAAAGATACTGCCTGTGAGACCCCTCGTTATTCACCGACACAAACAAGTTACGTATTGCCTCTCTGACATAGCTAGTTACTGCCCCTTTGACGTGGTTAGTTTCCACCCTTTACCTTGTACATGGTGGGTCGATCAAAACATTTTTTTTCATTATGCTCCCATCCTGCCCTTATCGCTAAGAGGGAGTCAGTGTACTCTTGGATGAGTGTTTGTACCCATACTTGGTACCAGGGTGTTCTGCTACCACCCTTCTGGACTGCGCTTGCGTGAGTGTCCTGTGCCTAGCACTTCTCAGGAATGTGTGTGTTTCTGCAATACCAGCCCTGCTCTTGCCAGGTTCTGTGAGCCTGTGTAACCCACACACCTCCTGGGTGTGGTGTTCTGCCCCATCTGGCACTGAGTCCACTTAGAGAGAGAGAGAAAACGAGTCTGCTCTCCAGGACTGGCTCTAGGCATCAGCAAAGCAAGCACGTGCTTGGGGCAGCACAACTCTCGGAGCTTGGGGCGGCAAATGTTTTGCTTGGGGCCGCAAAAAACCTAGAGCCGGCCCTGCTGCTCTCCAGCCTTAGCTAACAACCAGGTGGCTTTTAGCTCATGCACTAAGCTCCCAGGTTCGATCCCTGACTTCTGCTCTCAGTCTGTCTCTTGCTGACTTTGCTTTACATTAGCAGGGCTTGACCCACTACTTTAGTTCAGGCCTCAGGCCTGATACAAGGTCTCATGTTTCAGGCTTTCTTTCTGCTACACCTGGGATGCTTGATTCCCAGCCCCCCTACTCTAACCTACGAAATCCCATTCCCCTCCCACAGCTATGGGGAGAACCCAAGAGTCCTTGTTCTTATTCCCGCCCCCCTCCCCTGCTCTAACGCACTAGCATCTAGTGATTAGAGCAGGGGGTCTGGGAGCCAGGACTCCTGGTTTCTCTCTAAGCTCTGGGAGGGGAGGTGTGACAAGGACCAGTCGCTCCCTCGCTCCTCCTCAAGGATTCAGTGGCACAAGAGCTGTGCCAGGACGGAGCCTGAGGCTGGAATAACACCGGCCGTGAGCCCTGGGCTGCCCCCACCCACAGCTCTGCTGGTGCCCCTCAGTCCTGACTGGCAGCCCTAGCTGATCCGGCATGGCAGCTGGTGTGAAACTGGCTCCATGGACACATTGTGTAACCAGCTGGGACAGGAGCTCGCTGGGTGGCTGCAGTGTCCGGACCCCGGGTCTGTTCTGGTGCAGCAGAGAGCTGGGGGATACCAGACTAGCGGGGTGAGTGGGCTGCATCACTCAGGGGTTAGATGTGAGTGGAAAGGGGGGGAGAGGAGGCCTGATTGACCTCGGGGTGTGATGGGAGGGGCAGGGAATACCAGAATAGAGGGGTCGATGAGCCAGCCTGGTACTTACCTTCCTACAGCAGGAAATCGATCTGAGATATGAGCTTGCAATCCTCAGCCCATCCGTGCAGGAATGGCCTTCTTGTCACCTGGTGCCTGCCTCACTGTCTCCCTCCAGAGCTCGTCTGCCGTCCTGTCCTGATGAGAGCTTTGGGTAGCAAGCACCTCCCTGCCCCCCTCCCACCAACAGCCCGGCCCCCGTTCTGTGCCCAGTGAAAGGCACAGCCCAGCTGGGGTGCGCTGGGATTGGCAGATATTGCAGAGCCGTCTCTCAGGGAATCGTCCTTTGTCGCTGTGGGCCAGCCCGGGGGGACCAATTTGCCTCGTACAACCGGCATCCTTGGCCGAGGAGGAGAGACAAAGGATCAACGCCCATCTGAAACCAAACCAGAGCCAAGTCACAGAGAACCGCAGTGTTTCACTCTCAGGTCCTCGGTTTACCAGCGTTGTGTCTCAGGAACCCCTGGACCAAGTGACTCCAAATTTGCCCCACTTACCCTAGCTCAGACATCAAGGAGACATGGCACATTTCAAAACAACGTGATACAGCATGTGGGTTTTGGAGCGCCTAGAAAACGCAGCTGTTAAGCAGTGAGCTCGTATCAGCCCCTAACAGGCTACGTCTACATTAGCACTTTTGTTGGCAACACTTTTGTTGGTCAGGGGTGTGAAAAACACACACACACACACACACACACGACCATTAAGTTTCACGGACTAAAGCATCAGTGGGGACAGCGCTATGTGGGGGGGAGAATTCTCCGGAACAATGGGCGAAAATCTCTGCTCCAGCAGGAGACCAATTGCTCACCTTTGCCGGATGTGAACTATTGGAACCTATTTCTAGTACGCGGACAGAATGCCTTAACCAGTGGTGGGCCATACATGGTACGACACCGTTCACAACCGGTGTGGCACTGGCTTGCCTTGCAGATCATTCCTCGCTGAACCAGGGCGCGGGATGATTTTCGTGGCTAGTGGTTTGGGGCACTGCAGTTGCTGGGTGTCCACACTGAGCCACTTAAAGAGGTCTGGTTTTGCAAGCGCGGGGGCTCGGCCCTTTATGTAAGCCAAAGCTCTTAAAGGGGCGCATGCCGGGCTCCCAAAATCCCCCATCCCTTTTGAAAAAGGCAGGCCTTTCTAGAATCTATATTCTGTTGGATTGGCTTCAAAACCTGCCCCAGGCTTTCCCAGCACTTAGCAGCACCGGGTCTCGGCCGCATCCCCAAAACCCACTCAGTGGGGGATGGCCCTGTTGGTGCATGGACGCTGTCCCGCTGAAAGGGCCCAAAGGAACCACAAGCAAAGACGCACACAAAACACACATGATTTATTTCAGCGGCAACGTCCATTGAACGAACAGGCTCAAAGAACAGGCATCCATGAGCTGGGTGCTTGGAGGGCCAAGCTGTAGTCCGACCTCCTGTCTAGCACAGGCTGCTAAATTCCACCCAGCTCCCCCAGCACTGAGCCCAGAAAAGGGCGTTTGGCTAAAGCATCTTCCCGAAAGGCCCCGGGGAGTTTGTTCCATGGGTTAATTGCCCTCCCCATTACAAAAAATGGAGCCTTGTTTTCAATTTTAATTGGGCTTCCAGCTATTTCCCAGGAGTCTCTGCAAGGCCAAGGAACCCACTGTCCACCAGCTGCGCAGAGATTGTGGCTTCATCTCACAGCCACCCTGGCCTTGGCACTAGGGTCGCTGAGATTCCTGGAGGTTTCATCCCGTGACATGATCTTTAATTAAGGGAGGGCGGTCAACCCTACGTGGCATCAGCTGCATCCAAGGGGCCCACGCTGTTAGGAGCCCCCTGGCTGGACCTCTCCAAGTGGCCTAAGGGATTTGGACAGCAAGTGAGAGGCAGGGGAAGCAGGCACCCAACACCCCAAGGCAGCCTTGGCAGCCTCAGCCCTGGAGGAAGGGGTGAGCTGAGGGGTTGGTGCAGCGCTGCCCATGGGCTGTAGCCCTGGAGAGCGGGAGGGAGTTTGGCTCTGTAACACCACGCCACGGGACGGGTAACCGGCAGCGGGGAATTAAACCCACTACCCCTGATGCTAAGCCCATGAGCCTGTACTGGCTGAGCTAAAGGCCCCTGCTCTGTTAGCCCAGGCTAGGGCAGGCTCATCAGCCTGTACAGGGGCCAAGATGCCACGAAAGAGGGACAGACCCGAGCACAGGGCTGGGGGGCGGGAGGGGGGGAGATTACTTTGCTCCTAGGACTCCAGGGAGCTGGCTGGCTCAACAGCTGGGGTGGGAGACACCTGGGCCCTCTGGAAACACACTGAGAACCTCCCAGCTTGCAACACTCAAGCCAGTGGACAGCCACTAGGTGTCCCAGTACCTACCCCCCGAGCCAGCCAATCCCTGCCCCAGGGCTGGTGCCCCCTAAAGGGGAAAGGCCCCGTGTCCTATTCCCCACCCCCCTTAGCCAGCCAGTCCCCGCCCTGGGGCAGGATGGGAGCCGGCACCCCCTAGAGAGAAAAGGCCCCGTGTCTCCAGCCCCCTGAGCCAGCCAGTCCCTGCGTTGGGGCCTGATGGGAGCCGGCACCCCCTGGAGGGGAAAGGACCTATGTCTCTAGCTCCCAGAGCCAGCCAGTCCCTGTTCTGGGGCTGGATGGGAGCCAGCGCCCCCTAGGGGGGAAAGCCCTGTGTCCCCAGCCCTCTGAGACAGCCAGTCCCCGCCGTAGATGGGAAAGGCTCCATGTCCTATTCCCCACCCCCCTGATCTAGCCAGTCCCTGCCCTGGAGCCGGATGGGAGCTGACACCCCCTAGAGGGGACAGGCCGTTTGGGGTCAGTCTCTGCAAGGCATGGCCCCTGGAGCCCCCACCCAGCCCTGCCTCCCCCTCAGGCCCAGACAGCAATGGTGGCCATGACGGTGAAGCCCAGGGCGATGAAGGAGAACTTGGCCAGGGGTGGCTCGCGGGAGCTCAGCTCGTGGGGCAGGATCTCCAGGAAGGTGATGTACAGGAAGGTGCCGGCCGCCACCCCCTCCACCAGGGCCATGGCCAGCCCGCCAGCCGCCCCGCCCGAGAACGAGAGCCCGATGCCAACGGCCATGCCAGAGGGGGACATGAGGGCGAAAATGCCCAGGTAGAGCAGCCTCCAGCGGGGCCAGGTGCCACTTTGCACCAGCTGCAGCCCCAGGCTGAAGGCGATCACGCCCTTGTGGGCCAGCACAGCCAGGCAGAGCTGGAGGGCCCCCGCCTCGCCCTGCTGCACCCCCACCGCCAGCCCCTCGAAGAGTGAGTGCAGCGATAGCGTAATGAAGAGCACCAGGGCCCGGAAGGAGCCAGGTGAGGGGCCGCCAGGCCCCGGGACCCCGTGGGAGTGTGGGACAGAGGGGATGTTGGGCACCGTGACCCCGTGGGAGTGGGGGACGGAGGGGACGCTGGGGGCTGAGCAAGCAGGGTCCTTGCCCGGGGCCCCGTGGGACGGTGGAGCCGCGTGGCAGCAGTGCAGCACCAGGCTCTCGGTGAGGAAGACAAGGAAGAAGCCGAGGGAGATGACGAGCTCCGCGAAGGGGTAATCCAGCTGTGGGGAGAGGGATGGGGAGATGGAGGAAGATACACGGTTTGTTTCAGAGGTTCTCGCACGCAGCCACCCAGCCTGACCTTCCCCACCTCCACCCACAGCCTAAGGAGTGGGTCCCAAAGGGAGGGCTATTTAGGAGGGTGGAGTCTAGTGGTTAAAGCAGGGGGGCTGGGAGCCAGGACTCCTGGATTCTGTCTCCAACTCTGGGAGGGGAGTGGGGTCTAGTGGGGAAGGGGCTGGGAGTCAGGACTCCTGGCTTCTCTCCCCGTATCTGGGAAGGGAGATTTGACAAGGGCCAGTCGCTCCCCCTGCCTTGGCTCTGCTCTCACAGCTCTTTCCCCACAGCAGCCCTCTTCCCGCCTCTCCGCAGTGGGGGCACTTCCAGCTGAGAGGTGTTGGGGGTGCTCACCTCAGCCCCACAGGCACTGGCCCTAGACGAATCGTTCTGTGTCCCCGTCAGGTTCCGCCCAGCGGCAGCCTGTGGGGAAACAAGAGGAGTCAGATATCGCGCTGGGGGGCAGGCGGTGCACTGACCCCATATACACCTGGAGGGGTGTCCCTACTCCCCCTGCTGGAGGGGACAGGCCCTGCTCCGTGTGTGTCCCTGCGCCCCCTGCTGGAGGGGACGGGCCCTGTTGTGTGTGCACCACACTGCTGGAGCAAGGGAGTCCCATGCGTCTCTGCTTCATCTCACCTGCTGCAGCCGCTTGCCCAGCTCCCACTGGATGTCTGTCAGCGCGTCGGCCGCCGTGTGCATGAGGCAGGCGCCCAGGAAGACCCCCGCTGCAAAGCAGCCGATGAAGCTCAGGATGCGCCGGTGCCGCCCTGTGGGAGGAGAGGGCCGGGGTGAGGCTAAGGCCACAGCCATGGGGCATGGCTGAGCAAAGCAATCCCAGCTTGGGAGGTGGGTCTCAAACTGGGGAACCACACAGCCTGGGGCAGGGAGAAAGCCAGAGGTGGGGCAGCAGGCACAGAGCCCTGGACTGGCACTGGGAACACCTGGGTTCCAGTTCTGGCTCAGGCTGTTAGGTGAGCTTGGTAAGTCACTTGGCCGCCCCGTGCCTCAGTTTCCCCATCTGTACAATGGGGCTAATGAGACTGACCTCCTTAGCAAAGTGCTTTAAGATCTGCTGACAGAACAAGGGTGATTAATGAACTGGCAAGAGGATGGAGTGAAAGCCGCACAGCTCCCCGGGGAGAAACAGCTGGGCACAGATAGGAAGAACAAGGGCAAAGTAATGGCTAAGAAAGAAAGTGGTACAGAGGTGGACAGACAGACAAAGCCTCAGTTTCCCTCAGGGGGTCCAGAGCCCCCTGAGTGTGACTGTTTCTTTTGCCCCACGGGGAGGCAGTGATGGGGCTGGGGCAGGATGGAGGTATCCATGTCTGCAGCTGCCCCATTGCCTTATTTACTAAGGGGGTTTCCCCTGCCCCAGGAGCCAGAAGCCTGCAGGGGATAGGGGAGGGGAAGCACCAGACAGACAGATACACAGAGAACAAGAGCGAGGAGCAGCAAGAGATAGATAGGCAGGACTTGGCTACACTGGCGCTGTACAGCGCTGCAACTTGCTGCGCTCAGGGGTGTGAAAACGCCCCCCCCCCCGAGCGCAGCGAGTACAGTGCTGTAAAGTGCCAGTGTAATCAGAGCCTGCAGCGCTGCAAGCTATTCCCCTCGGAGAGGTGGAATACATACAGCGCTGCGAGAGCTCTCTCGCAGCGCTGGCGGCGCGACTACACTTGCGCTTCACAGCGTGCAGTCCCGAGTGTAGCCAAGGCCATAGATAGATAGATAGATAGAGTAGAGGTGTGCGCATGGGAATAGGTAGGTAGATGGATGAACGGAGGGGTGTCTATGGGAACAGATGATAGAGGAGCAGGGGTGTGTGTATGGGGATATGTAGGTAGATGGATGAACAGAGGGGTGTATATGGGGATAGGTAGATAGATGGATGGATGAACGGAGGGTGTGTATGGGGAAAGATGATAGAAGAGCAGATGGGTGTCTATGGGGATAGATGATACAGGAGTAGAGGGGTGTCTATGGGGATAGGTAGATGGATGGGTGAACAGAGGGTGTCTATGGGGATAGATGATAGGGGAGCAGAGGGGTGTGTATGAGGATAGAGGAGCAGATGGGTGCATATGGGGATACCCAGCCCGCCCACCCCTGCGATGTGGATGGGAAGCCGCTGTCCCACTCCCCACCCCAGCCCCTCTTCACCTTTGGCCGCTTTGATCTGGAACCACTTGACCTGGGCCGGGATGAGGCCGCAGACGAGGGTAATGAACAGCAGAGCCACCAGGCAGCCGATCTTCACCGCCAGGAGCGGCTCCATCTGCGCGGGCGCCAGGAGGGCCAGGCCAGGCAATACAGCTGGGCCTTACCCTGGGCTCACACCCTACAGCCCCTCCTCCACAATGCCCTGCTAGCCCGTCCTCTCCTGTCCCCCCTCGTCTAACCCGTCCCAGGCTAGGGAGACCCCCACCACAGATGACCCTAACCCTAATCCTAGGTAGCCCAAGCGGGCGCCGAGTCCTCAGCCGAACCCAGGCCTGGCCGGGGACCCTTCCAAGCCCTGGGAATCGGTGGGAGATGCTGTGCCACACAGATTGGGTCAGGCCATTCCCAGTTCCCTGGCCATCCTCCTCTCCTCCTTCCCTCCCGTCTCTACCTCACTCCATCTGCCCCTCTGCCTTCCACTTCTCCTTCCTTCCCCCTCCCGCCCTGCATTCACTGCATCTCTGCTGTTTCTCGCTCCCTCTCCTGCTCCGCTCCTGCCACCTTCCCCAGCACCTCCCAGCCCCAGAGTGAATAATAACCTCCCAGGAGCAGGGAGAAGGGAGCCACCCTCTCCCCACCCCTCCTTCAGTCTTAATTGCATCACCATTAAATAATTTATTGGGTAAACATTTCCCAAGAGCACTTTTCCCCACCACTTCCCCGGTCACCGGCTGCATTCCTAGCAGCTTAGATACGCTTGTATGGAGCACTCATCCCTCCCTAATACCCAGCAGGCCCTGGCCCGGGGGGATTTTCCAGCTGTCGAGGGGTTTGGTGCCAGGCTGGACAGTGCCGGATCAGCATCTCCTGGGCCCCAAGCAGGGTGAGGATGGAGAGAACTAAAACATACAGCGCCCCCGGGGCCTGGTCAGCCCTCCACCTCTGCCAGCTGCCCGGCCTGGATTCACAGGAGTGCCAGCCGTGTCTCCAACCGTGCCCTCGAGGACAGCCCGTCGGATCCAGCACCCGTTTCTCCCCCTGGCTGCCCAGCAGGCCCTCGGGAGAGACGCCACCAGCAGGGATCTGCAGTGGCAAAGGCCAGCCTGGCAAACCAAGCCACTGCCTTTTACTCACCCGCAACCTGGGCTGAAGGGGCCTAAAGTCAGTGTCACCTGAGAAAGGCACTGGCTGCCCTGCCGCTCCCAAACCCGGCCTCTCCATCTCTGCCCCAGCCATGGGTAGCCAGCGCCTCGGATCCCAGCTGGCTCCCACCTCCCGACCCCATGCCCGATAGATGCCCAGGAGGCTCCACGGGGTCTCCACTGCTGAGGTCCTTTGTCCTCTGGTGACATGGGGACAGTTCTAGGTAGTGCATTGCTGTTTGTGTGACCCTTCTTCCCTCTCCCCCCAGGAGAAATTCAATTCTTCACACGCAGCCTGCATGGTGAGTGGGGAAACCGAGTCACACGCGTCTCAGACTAATATCACCATGCTGCCCCCACTGCCGCAGGACACCTCGAGCTTCGTTACTGGCCAGGCAATACTGGGATGTTTGGTCACAAACGGGGCCAGATGAGAATCTCCTAGAAGAAAGAGGCCCCACGTCCTGTTCCCTGCACTGGGGGCAGACAGGAGCCGGCATCCCGGCCCCACCTTCCATTCCCCACCCCACTAAGCCAGCTGGTCCCCACGCCCTGCGCCTGGGTCCCAGCCAGCGCCTCCTAGTGGGGATTAGCTGAGCTCCTCTGATGGTATCAGTGCCTCACTGCAGCTTAGCTCCTGAAACACACCCCGGCCCTTCACCCGCTGTTTACTCTGCACAGAGCATTTCCCAACACCACCACCAGCAGCCCATGGGCCACGGCCCTGATGCAGCATAACCCTCAGTGTCCCTGGCAGCCAGCGCTGGCCCCATGGTCCCAGTGTGGCGGTAGGTAGTGGGGTGGGGACTCGGTAGGGGGTGCTCTCCCCAAGCATGCAGTGCTGGCAGGGAAGAGGGTGGGGGCCCGCAGGGGGCGCTGTCCTGCAAGGAGCAGGAAGGGGGCCCTGCAGGGAGCGGGGGGAGGTCTGCATGGAGCAGGGTGCGGGCCCCACAGGAGAGATTGTCCCATAAGGAGCAGGATGGGGGGCCCACAGTGGACGTTATCCCGCAGGGAGCAGGGTGGGGGGCCGCAGGCAGCGCTGTCCTGCAGGGAGCGGAGGCCACCCAGAGCTCAACCCCCCCCCTTCAGCCCCGTGGTTGCATGCCAAGCCTACGCACACAGCTGGGTCACGCCCAGGGGCTCCATGGAACCAGCTGAGCCCGTTGCCCCGCCCAAGCTATTGCAATGGCAGCAAGTGGTAACTCACCCGAGCGCAGCACATGCTGTGCCCAGCGTGCAGGGCATGCTCACCGCCCACGGGGGGGGGGGGGGGGGGGGGGGGGGGCGGCCCCCCGCGGGGGGGGGGGGGCCCCCCCGCGGGGGGGGGGGGGGGGGGGGGGAGAGGGGCTGGCCACCCACAAGAGGAAACCGAGACCCACAAGGGGAAGGGGCACAGTGACAGAACAGAACCAGGAGTTCTGTCTCCCAGCCCCCGCTGCTCTAACCACTAGCCCCCACTCCCCTCCCAGGGCTGGGGAGAGATTTTAGGGGGGAGGGATAGCTTAGTGGTTTGAGCATTGGCCTGCTAAACCCAGGGTTGTAAGCTTAATCCTTGAGGGGGCCATTTAGGGATTGGGGCAAAAATCTGTCTGGGGATTGGCCCTGTTGAGCAGGGGGTTGGACTAGATGACCTCCTGAGGTCCCTTCCAACCCTGATATCCTATGATAACCCAGAAGTCCTGACTCCCAGCCCCCGCTGCTCTAACCACCAGCCCCCACTCTAGGGTGACCAGACAGCAAATGTGGAAAATTGGGACAGGGGGTGGGGGGTAATAGGAGCCTAAATTAATGGAGATATCCTATCTCCTAGAACTGGAAGGGACCTTGAAAGGTCATTGAGTCCAGCCCCCTGCCTTCACTAGCAGGACCAAGTACTGATTTTGCCCCAGATCCCTAAGTGGCCCCCTCAAGGATTGAACTCACAACCCTGGGTTTAGGAGGCCAATGCTCAAACCACTGAGCTATCCCTCCCCAAAAAAGAAAAAGACCCAAAAAATCAGGACTGTCCCTATAAAATCGGGACATCTGGTCACCCTACCCCACTTGCCTCCCAGAGCTGGGGAGAGAACCCAGGAGTCCTGACTCACAGACTGCTGCCAGTCTAACCCTGCGCAGTAACTGACGCCAAAGCCGGTGGACTGTTTTAGGCTCTCTTTATTGGACCCAACCTGGGTGCCGGGGAGCCACCAGCTGCAGAAGGGAACCCAGGAGTCCTGCTGGCTCCCCCATGCTCATTGGGGCCAGCACCTGCACCTGCAGTGCCGCAGGCGACGGGGGCCATCAGAAGACCCCCCCCCACCACCAGTGCCAATCCACTGGGTGCTTCCTGCCGCCGTCCCCACATCAATGCCCACGAGGGTCAGGCAACGGATCGCAGCGGGACCTCGGGGGCTCAGCATCTGCCCCCTGGGATGGGCTGGAGGGTTACTCCCCCGGAACGGCCTCCCCGGGGGGCATAGTCACGGGCAGCCGATCCCCCCAGTGGCTCAGCCGGGCACAGCGATACAGATCCCTGTGGGGAGAGGGAATGGTGAGGGGTCCGGCCCCCCGAGCCAGCAAGTTCCAGCTCCAGATGGGAGCAGGCACCTCCTAGAGAGGAAAGGCCCCATATCCCATTCCCCACCCCCTTGAGCCAGCCAGTCCCCACCCTGGGGCCAGTTGGGAGCCAGCGCCCCCTAGAAGGGAAAGGCCCGTGCCCCATTCCCTGCACCAGTTTGTCCCTGCCCTTGGGCCGGATGGGTGCTGGCACCCCCTAGAGGGAAAAGGCTCCGTACCCCATTCCCCACCCCGAGACAGCCAGTCCCTGTCCTGGGGCCGGATGGGAGCTGGCGCCCCAAGGAGGGGAAATGCCCCATATCCCATTCCCGCCCCCCTCCCCGAGCCAGCCAGGCCCCGTCCCCGGGCCGTTGGCGGAGCGGTACCTGCCGTGCCGGCGTGCGGTGATCACAGCGTGCTGCAGGCTCCCGTCGGCACAGCACAGGTGGCAATGGACGTGCCGGGCACAGCCCAGGACGGCCTGGGTGATGCGGGGCCAGGGCTCCTCGCCCTCCCCTGGCCCCCGGCGCAGGATCAAGAAGGAGAACAACTCCTCTTTCAGCGCCAGGTTCTGCAACGACACGTGGGCAGGGGGTGAGCTGGGGGGTCCCCTGCAGAGCCCCCCCAATCCGCCTCCCCCAGCCCCTCCGCCCTAGGGCTGGCCCCGGCCTGTTCCCCACCCTTGCAGCCAGGCATTCCCCGCCCTGGGACCAATCCCACCGCAGCTCCCCATACGCCCCGCTGCCCGAGGGGCGCACAGCTCCCCATACGCCCCCGCTGCACAGCGGGAGGGGCACAGCTCCCGATATGCCCCGCTGCCAGGTGGGGGGGGCACTCACCCAGTGGAAGGGCAAGGGGTGGTAGGCCTGGAGGTAATTGCAGGGCAGGGGCCGCTCGGGGTTCAGCCGTGGGCAGGGCAGGTGGTGCGGGCACTAGGGGACAGAAACTGGTGTTAGAGCATCCCACGTCCCCCCCCAGCCCAGCATCTGGGCACCTGGCTGGCCTCGGCCCGCCCTCCCCAAAATCCACCCACCGAACCTCGACCCACCCCCCCAATCCCCTCCACCTGGCCTCGGCCTGTCCGCCCAACCCCCTCCAGCCGCCCTGCAGGCCTCAGCCCGCTCCCCACACCCCGCCAATACTCACTGGGGCGAAGACGTGAGCCTCCCGTGGGTCATGCACCACCTTGTCTCCCCCCTGTTGGCAGAGGGGAGAGGAGTTAGAGCCCAAAGGGAACCAGCTGCACCCCCTGTTCCCTCTGCACGGCTGGCCCGGACCCCTGGGTCCTGTTCCATCCCAGTCCCTCCCCTTGGGGTACTAGGGCGGGGGAGCTCTGCACTGCCAGCCCAGACGCCTGGGTCTCGTTCCATCCCAGTCCTTTCCCAGGGGGGCCCCCCAGCGCTTTGTGTTATTGTCCCGGACACCTGGGTCCCATTGTCTATCCGTTCTCCCCTCCCCCAGTGGCTGGGAGCCTGCCAAAGCTGCTGGAGGTGGGGAGGGGGGATTGCAGGGGGGCTCCCGCCACGGCCCCAGGGAAGGAGCAGGGTCCCCTCACCCCCAGGACGATCTCTCGCGCCTCCATGAGCATCTGGTGCCCCTCTT